AAACCCTGAATCAAAGTGTGACGGTATAGCGGGTTCCAAACTATTCGGGAATTGAAAAATTTTTTAAAGACCGAATTATGCTCCTACTTCGAGTATAAAATTGGAAGAAGATGTCACTATCTACCGAATAAGCGGAAGAATGAATATTTATATGCATATTTTCTATGAAACATAACTGAACTTTTACGGACATCAAAAATCAATGAGAAAAATGCATGCTACATAAGTAGCTATTTTTACAGAGTGTAGGTTTGGCATGCAACCGGAAGGCAGATCATTCGAAAGTCGGAATCCTGCGGTAACTGAAATATTTTTAGTCGATCCGACTGCAGTTGGCAGAGGCTTCACCATACAGTGAGTAACCGATCCCATGAAATGTTGGCCGAGATCTTGTAGTGCGTTTCCGGTCAGGAAGGATTGCCGAGGTGGGGCTTTTATATTGATTACCACGTGGCTTGGCCCTTTAATGTTTCCCTTTTGAGTAAACTTCTTTTCGAACTCCTACAGAAACCACACTCAATAAAAACGGCCACTTCATTAGCGTGCATTTTTTAACTGATTTTCCACAGTCTTATAAATAAGGATATGTTTTACAGAAAACATGATATAAATATTCTTTCTTTTACTTGTGTGGTGGAATCGCACGTTGCCTTCACATTTTCTAACCTAAGAAAGGTTAAAGTTCGGTTCCCGAATAATTTTAAGCCCGAGCAACCGTTGCGTTCGCGTAGCGATTTCCGTTTACGATATGCATTCTTTCTGCTTATAGAAAATCATATTTTCCTTTATGCCTTTAAGAAGTCACCATATCGAGTTCATAAAGTTTGGAAATGGATAAGGACTTTGTTCTAAATTTAACGAGGAACATCGCTCTATGTATGGACATCGCAAGGTCTTAAAAATCTAAATTAGAAGCCTTTTTAAAACCAAACTATAACTCTTCTTAGGATTTAAAATATACAGATAATGTAATTTTTTAACTAATGAGTAGAAAAGCATATGTTTTATTTATTTTCTATTAAATATAGATTGATTTATAAGAACATCGAAAGTCAGCGTGAAAATCATATGCTATACAAGTAGTCATTTTTTACCGAGTACGGTTTCTTTAGGAGGTCGAAAAGAAGTGCATTCAAAAGCTGACATTCTGGCAAGTTCGAAATACAATAAGATTAAGCCGCATGATAATCAATATTACAACCCCATCTAAGTATTCCTTCCTGATCAAAACATATTCTAGAATTTTCGCCAACCTTTCATGAATCGGTCACTCACTGTAGATGTATTGGTTACTATAAATGCAATAATTGTCTCATGGTATACACAAACATTATTTCAAATACTTTGATTACAGGTTTAACGTAGAAACTTTGTACGCGACGAGTCTGAAGGCGAGGCAGATGCATCATACTTTTTTAAACGAAAGAATTAAAAACAAATGCGACAAAGTATTTCAGAAATTACCTTTCCACTGATTTGTAGAGAAGTAAGGTAGATGAACACCTTCAGAAATTCGTCCTCAGATGTTTACGATTACATGCATGATTGGGTTAGTTGAATTTAGGTCGTCGCTTGCTCATGGGCACATGCGAAACGAAGTGTGTAAAGACGTATCATGGAGTGCTTGGGCAACAACGAAGGGCCTAATATCCTTCTTATCATAAGAAATAAATGAGAGATGTTTAACCAGCCTCCAATTCGAAGTCGTTACGAATGGTCAGCAGAAATATTATCTCCAAAACATATTAAGCGGTCCAACGTTTGCATACTTCTTGCCTGCCGTAATAATTGGTATCTTTACGAAGGTAAGCTTGCTTTGCGACTAGCATACCTAGTGAGTGACCTTAGATTTGATGTTCTTCCTTCGCACTGTATTTATGCCTGGCCAATCGCATCCGGAGCACTTTTTCCTTCCTTCGATGCATGTAAAAAAGACAGTAATTCTGGATTAAAGAGATAAGATTATCACGTAAATTCGATTTATGGCTAGGTTTGATGACGCTTACCCAACAAATTTCGCAGGAATGGAGCTTCAGAACTAGTAATTCCTTACTGTCGACCAGTTGGGCGTGAGAATCACCCATGAGGAAAGTATGGGCATTTGAAGAAGAAGAAGAGTCGAGCACCGGAACAATTCGTTTATTATCCTGAGCTTTCAGACTCGTACAGGAGTCCATCGTCAGAGGTAGTGGCAGAAACAGGACAAGTGGCAGTTATAAGGCACGTAGACCCAATCATCGACCGACGTCGCACGACTGGAGGTGACTACGAAGGGCTCTGTACGCCGGCGCCAGATCGATAAATCGATTGACTGAGTTCTCATCCGAGGCCCAGGCTTCAAGCAATTCTCGGCCTGTTTGTTTCCGGCGTGGGCAACTATTTTGGTGGCTGCGAAGTCAAACTCGTGACCCATTTCGTAGGTGTGGGCGGCCACTTGTGATAATGCGTCGCCTCGCCGCACAGCCAGCTTACGTTCATGTATGCGCGATCCGAGCATGCGTCCAGTCTGTCCTGTGTAATTACAAGGACAATTTTGACACGGAATGCGATACACTACTCCAGATTCCTCTTCAGGTTTTAACCGGTCTTTGATCTTCATGACCCTGTTGCGCATGGTGGCTTTGGGGCGGTGTGCGATTCCAACCCCTAGCTCCGCAGCAATGCGCTCGGTCGCCTCTGAAGCACACTTGATGTATGGCAGAGAATGCCATATCGTCGGTGGCGTTGATGTTTGAGTTCTCTGGTGGCGGCCGCGTAGGCAGCGACTTATGAATGCCTTCGGATAGCCATTTTGCATAAACTGGTCGCGGAGATAACGGGCCTCACGCGCTCTATCTTCCAGTTTGCTGCAATGAGTTTGGATCCGTTTGAAGAGCGTCTTCACACAGCTTCGTTTGTGAGCCACCGGATGGTTGCTGTGAAAACTGAGAAGCTGTGTGGTCGATACAAGCGAAAATGCGAGTTCCAGGAACTAGTTGATCAGAAGAAGAAGCGATCGCTGGAACAATGGCTTTATTCGCCTGACGTTTCGGATTCTCTCTTGAATCCATCATCAGAGACAGTTGCAGAAAAGGGTGGTTAGT